GCTGCTTGTTTGAATACAAACCTTTAAGACACCAGACACTATTCCGATTGATAGCCCGGCACCATCTGCTTTCTTCACCACACTGTGCTGCAGCACCCTCATTTTCAGTGACCATTTCATGAAGGGCGAGCAGGAACATGTTACCAGAACTAACTGTCCTTGGATTGGAGCTAGAAGTAAGTGGGAGCCCAGAATCCATCTGAATGTTCATGGGATACCCCCGACTCAGGTTTACTTTGGCAACCCAAATAGGACAAGATCAAAACCCCATAGACCAACTACAACCAACCAAAGCAATAAACCAACCCCCAAACAAACAAAAGGTAGGACAATAAAAACCTATAGAAACAAAAGAGTAAGACATTTTCAGTCGTCCCCTGGTGTATATATAAAGCAGTGGTGCTGATCACACCATCACTTTTTCCAATGACACAGCGCTCGACACTGTTGGTATGAGGAGTCTCTGCAAGGACAGTCCACCCAAGGGACAGCAGGCATGAGCTACGGCCCTCCATGGTTCAATCTCCCCTTCAGTTGGGCTCTGTTGACCATGGGGATTGGTGCCAGGGGGAACCTTCCTGGATCAATTCATCCAAGTGCGAGTCCCTGTGCAACAGATCAATACTTGTCATATTACTGTGAGGCGGGCATCGAGGTACTAAATATATGGTGGTTCTGGGTCCCTTTCCATTGGACACCCACCAGTGGACATTCCCTGCAAGGTCCCATGACTGCCACTTACACAGCCAAGCTATAGTATTTTCCGTGGTCTCATACGCATGTGAAAGCTGGATATTGAATTCGGAAGATCAAAGAGGAATCGATGTATTTGTATCCTGGTGCTGGCAAAGAATATTCAAAGTGCCACAGACTGCCAAAAGAACCAAAATCTATCTTGGAAGTAGTACAGCCAAAATGCTCCTTAGAGGCAAGGCAGGTGGGGTTTTGTCGTACATACATTGGCCATGTCAGGAGAGACTGGTCCCTGGAGAAGGCCCTGGAGGAGATGGGCTGACACAGTAGCAGCAGCAATGGGCTCAGGTGTAGAGACAGTTGTGAGGATGGCGCAGGACCAGGCAGTCCTCCCTTCTGTTGTGTGTCAGGTTGCCATGAGTAGGAATTGACTCGATGGCACGTCATAACCACCTAACCATCTGATACTCTGGTAAAACACCCCTCACCTTTTTTCTTTTATTTTGGGGGGGCGGGTAGTACTGGTGGGTTGGTTGGCTAGTTTTTAGGAGTCTGAATGACTTCCTTTCTTTCCCTTGTTCTGTGATATGTAGAGGTGTTGGGGATCTAGATGTTTGTCTTCCCACAAAACCTAAGAAAAGCCTGCGCTCGTGAGTCAAGCTCCACAACAGTATGCAGGAGCTCTGATGTCCAGGTTGTGTATTGGCTGCTAACTCCCAGGTCAGCAGTTGGAAACCAGCTGCTCAACGGGAGGAAGACGAGGCTCTCTCCTCCTGCAGAGATGTAGCCTCGGAAACCCACAGGGGCAGGTGTACCCCATCCTACAGGGTAGCTTGGCAGTGGTAGTGAGTCTGGTTTGGTCTTGATTCATTTTGCTGTGCTTGCCCCCCACGGCCATCAGGTGCGTAGGCAAAACAGTGCTCAAGCTAGCATTCGGCACGGCTCCGATTGGCTGCCATGGTCCTTGAAAGCACCGAAAAGCCAAACCTACTGTCAAGTAGATTCCAACTCATAGTAAGCCGATAGGACAAAGGAGAACCACCCCTGTGGGTCTCCGTGCCGTGAAATCCTTACTGACGCAGATGCCACCTGTCTCCCACGGAATGGCTAGTGGGTTCAAACTGCTAACCTTCAGGCAACCGGCCAAGCACTCACCTCCCTGTGCCACCTGACTTCCTTCCAGGGAAACCAGCGGTTAAAATTAATGGCAGGATTCTGTTTGTTGTCCTGGCTTCCCGTGAATTGGCTCCTTTAGGGAAATTGGCAGTTCTATTAGGCATCCTTGTAAGAATTAATTGGGTTTTTAGGATTGTCTTTGTTTTGGGTTGTTTTTTTTTAACTACAGGGAAAAGATTACCCTTTCTTCTCTGAGTTGGTGAATTTTACGTGGATTGAGTGGACCCACTTGTGGTTCTAAGCCCCTTGGAGAGAGCTATGTGTTGGTGACAACGTGGTGGCTGCATGCCCAGCTCTTGGAGCTGCGTGAAGACCACCCAGTAGGGGCTGCACCTCCCTCCCCCTTCCCATGAGGCTTGTGTCCCGCCCACCTCCCCAAGTTCAGCCTCTAAGCGGGGCAACTGGGGCATTTAAAAACAAAAAAACGTCGTTGCGTTTGTTTCTAAACTCACTCCATTTCTCTGTTCCAGAAAATATTTTCAGAACCCGGAAGCTTATCCATGACAACTGTCACCAAGCTTCGAGAGCGCTGCCGCGCAAAGCTGCTCACTCAAGGATAAGTCCTGGTCTCCCCTGCACATTCCTCCACTCGCACCGACAAGGAATCTGCCGCCCGGAGCGGACACACTCGCCCAGTTGTACCTGCTTAACATCCTAGCGTTGTAAATACTGTCTACGCACGTTAGCCGTGATCTCCCCACCCCGCCCCAAGAGCGATCCCCAATCATGTCATTCTAGGACTCTTAGGAGTCATCATTTCTAAAGAAAAAAGTATTTTTACCTGAGACAACAATAATAATATATAACACGAGATGGGTGCATTTTTTTATTTAATCAGATCCGTCACCACTTGGTGAGTTTGTGACGTCAGATTCAAAATTTAAAAACAGCGAACCATCGTCGCTAGTGTTATTAATGGTAATTTAGGAGAACGGTCCCTTTTTCTGTGGCAGAGCATTTGCCTTTGACTAGAGTGGTCTACCTGGTTGGTCCCTTAAGCTTCAGAAAGGTATTTTTAAAAAGATTGTCTCCCATACAGGCAGCTAGACGTCACGTGAGAGCCTGAGGAATGACAAGCGTTCACACAGAGGCCCGTGGAAGCCACAGCCCTGTCCCTTCATCCTGGTTTCCACAGACCCTCCTTTGCAAGAAGGGGGTGGGGGTTTCCGGTGGGTGCGTGCCTGGGACAAAAGCTAAAAATAAGGGAGACTTGGGAAGGAATCCCGATGGTGTCATGAGCTACACACAGAGCTGCTAGCCACAAGGTCAGCAGTTTGAATCCACAGCTGCTCTCCAGGAGAAAGATAAGGCTGTCTACTTCTGTAAAGAATGACATCTCAGGTACCCACCAAAGGGGCACTTTTACTCTGCCCTATAGGGCCATTATGAAGGGAGGTAGGAACCAGCTTCCAAGTTCCAAGATACAACCATCCCGGACTTGCTCCCAGGCGGGGCAGTAGGCGTGGGTAGAATCTCCCCTTTCCCTTGTCTCCCAGGCTGAAATAGCGCTGGGGTTCCCCCCACCCACCACCATCGCTTGGATGGAGAAGCCTGTTGCCTGGGTAGGGGTCGGAGTCCCAGGGGCACAGTGGTTAAGCTCTCGCCTGCCAGCCACAAGCCCAGTGCTTCGAACCCTGCAGCCTTGGAGGCCCTCGGGCAGCTCTGCTCTGCACTATGGAGTCCTTATGCGTTCAAACCAACTCGGTGGGAGGGGTTTGGTGTGGGCAGGCTGAGCCCTCCGTGGGGCAGGTGGGAAGGGGTTGGTGTGGGCAGGCTGAGCCCTCTGTGGGGCAGGTGGGAGGGG